CCAACCCGCATTGAGCAAGCGTTGTGGTTAATGCTCAAACCTTCTCCGTGTGAGAGGAGGCTTTTGGTCAGCAGTGGGCATTTATAGGCTGTTGATGTTGATGATGATGATGATAATGATGAAATCGAGCATTAGTTAGGCTCAAAACTCTACAACGAACCAAGACAAAGTACCTAATGAAAACAATACCTAATCTATAGTCAGAATTTTTATTGGATTCCAGATTTGACATTAGCTACTGTCATTTTGTGAAATAATGATACCACATATAATAGTGTAGTGATGAACACAAAAATCGATAAACAATCAGTGTGTTGTGTTTTATAATAAATGTTGCAGAAAGTGACAGGATAGCGATAACGATGACGGCGACAATTTATAAAATAACTTATTACCAAAATACATCTATGTGTTTTATTTGTCATGTTTCTTCATGGTTACATTTTTTTATTTATTTAACACACAATTATAAAATAAAAGTCTCAGATCATTAACTAATCATCAAAACTAAATTATCGGATTAGAAATATTTAATTTCCTGATATACTTAGTTTGCGAGAGTAAAATTATAAACGAGAAGTATCGATCCAGAAATATTTCATTTCCATATCGAATAATTTCGCAACGTCACTATTTAGTACTTGTCATAACGTTGCAACACTGAAATTGTCAAATGTGGAATCGAATTAAAATTCCGAGTATAATATTTGATAGATGTTTGTTTTGTTCAAAGTATATTATCAGAGCCTGTCTCGAATTCAGCTATTTTACTTTACAACATTGTATATAAAGTCTTTAAGTCGGAATAGCGTTTAATTACTGTATTAGTTTATGATAGGGCTGGCGTGGTCGTATTGGACCAAAAGCCCCTAAATATATAAGCAGATATTAAAAAAAACCTAATCTAATAAAAAAATACTGATTTAAAGACTCGTCCGATTTGATCCCGGGAAAGACAGGGCTAACACCCATTTTTCGCTATTCCTGTTATGAGTCCCATGTAATAGGGAGTGAGATTATAAAATAATATTGAAAAAGATTTCGAAGTTATTCAGTCTACATAGAAATACTTTATATTTTAAGGCTATTTCATCGGGACACCATGGCGTCGCCACCACTCGCCACGACAAACAAAATCTATACTATAAGGGCTTGTTTACGGAGACGCGGCGCGATGAGCGACGCGTGGCGCGTTCGTTGTACATTGCAGCAGCGGGCCGAGTCATCGCACGCGCAATTACAATCATATGGCAATGTACGACGAACGCTCCACGCGTCGCACATCGCGCCGCGTCTCCGTAAACAAGGCCTAAGAATCATTACCCTGGTTGCTTACTCTTAAAATAAATATCAATGTCAATGCAATTTCAATACAATAAAATCTCAATAATTATTCAATATCAACACTATACAACCACAATCGTAGCTGTTACAATAGCATTCAGAGTACGGAATATAAAGACAAACTCAATACCATTTAGTTCATTCAATATCCACGTAATACGGATGCAATGGGCGCTAGTGTTGCAAGTCAAGAGTACGACACAATATCAATGTCGATCGATGAGAATAAGATTTAAGAGTAAGCACCCTGGTTTCCACGTGGTTGCGCAACCAATATGGCTGCGCGACTAACATGCATTAGAAGTCTTTTTTGATACTGTACAGTGTGTGGACTATGGTGTCTAGTTTGGTAACTTACAGACACCACTGTGGCGCGTGTGGTTGCGACACCATGGCGTCCCGGTGAAATATAACCCATTTATGCCGGAATACTGAAACGTTACCCAATTTTAAGTCGTGCTCAAATATCGTGCCATCTCTGTCATTTTACAAAGAATTTGTGGAGACAGAACTATACTTAAGCACGACTTAAAATTGAGTAGCGTTTGAGGATTCCGACATTATTTTATTAATTTCGGCAAAGAACTAGCATATAATAATATATATTTAAGTATATTTAGGCCAAGATCAATGCGAACAGTTTATAAACACATAACATAACATCACGCCATTTATCGCCGAAGGGGTAGGCAGAGGTGCACATTACGTGATCTTGGCCTAAGTATGAGGAGAGCATTTGCTAAACTGGTTTTAAGTCGAATTAAAATAATATCAGTGTATTAATTATTATGTTTTCGGCTTAGGTCCCTTTTCACCAACGAAACTGATCACGATTACACCTAACAAAACTGATTTAAAGCGTCTAATCGAATTTAAAGCGTTTAAACGAAGTTACAGCTTCATTTTACATTTCACCGCTACAAACAGAAACTAGTTTACACGGAACTCAGTACAGAAAACACAGAACACAGAACTTAGGTTACTTTAAACTTAGGTTACGTGTAACTGAGTTTTTACAGAGCTTGGTGAAAAGGGACCTTACTCGCGTAATTGTTTGACGAGGAACTCGACTAGTATCAAGCCATGCTAAAGGCTTATATTCATGAGCAGCATTTTGCGACCCGCAACGTGGCGACTGTCGCGCTGCTACTGACTACTCGAGTCTGCGGCTTTGCGGACTCAACGCGCCCTCTGCCGTGATTCGACCGCATCGCGGTTCGCGAAATGCTGCTCATGAATATGAGCCTCTAGCATGTCTTGAAACTAGTCGGGTTCCTCGTGTTCCTTTGTGTATTTTGGTATTATTTGTACTTATTTTTGACATAATAATTTGGACTAAACATGTATTCTTTTTCAATGAATTTAAATTAACTAAGATAATTGTATCAAATGAGAATTATGATTGGCATGGACTTAACTTGTTTAAAATTTACATACATACATAACTTCACGCCTGTCTCCCATGGGGGTAGGCAGAGACTAAGGAACGCCAATTACCACGATTCTTACATACCTCTTTCGCTTCATTAACAGTCATCAATCTTTTCATGCATGCTCGTCGGTTAAGGGTACTTTTTAAAACTTGTTTAAAATTTCTACACCAGAAATGGTAGTATATGTGATTCCATATTTAGTTTAAGATCTTAGTCTACCATATACTTAGAAATAAACATATCTTTATCTCGTCAAACAGTTACCTGAGTAAGCCGAATACATAATAATTAATTTAGTATGTCTCAAGAAAGTTTAAATATTAGGTAGTATATATTTTGGATCACACTTAAAATACATTAATTCTAGCTTAAAGTAGGACCATTAAAACAAACGATAAGTCAAAAAGATTTCGAATAAAAAAAACCGCAAACTAAAAATAAAAACTTAACTAAATTAAAACTAAAAATCAGGATGTGACTATTAAGCAAACTAAAATTAGAAAACCGAAAAAATAAACTAGAAATAATAATAATACTAATTTTTTTCATATGTTTTTTTTGTGTCGAAATTTCAGTTCGTCTTCCGAATATTAAAAATAAAAGTAATTCAGAAATCAATCATGTACCTAAGGGAAGGAAAAAGAAAGAAAATTAAAATAAGAAAAAAAACTGAAAATAAATTAAAAATTATAAAAAAAATTTGAACTTTAGAGTGTTATTTGAGTTAAAAATGTCATTTTAATAATACCTTTTCAACCAACATAAGAAAATACTAAATGTCGTTGTAGCCCGGGGTTTAACTCTTTGAGTACCATAACAATACGCCTTTTATCCCCGAAAGGGTAGGCAGAGGTACACATTACGGCACTTAATGCCACTGTACAATGTAACACCCACTTTTTTCACTATTTATGTTATGGGTCCCATGTAATAGGGGGTGAGCCTATTGCCATATACCGAGCACAGTTCCAGACAGTGCTACTACTGAGATTTTTTGAAAAAGTCCAGTAATACTTTGCCCGACCCGGGAATCGAACCCGAGACCCCTTGCCCGGCAGTCGCAATTGCGACCACTCGGCCAACGAGGCAGTCAACGAGGCTCTTTGAATACCGTCATTATAAACACAATTAACCTCTCACGCGCCTCTCGTACACACGGGTAAACGCGCGTCCTCGTACACACGGGTAAATATTTTAATAGAAAAGCGAATTAACTATTCTGTTCAATCAAATAAAGAACGGGTTGCAAACTTGAAAATATACGTCACAGAAAAAATATCCATTCGGTGCGCGTTTCTCGTACACCCGTGTGTACAATTGCGCGATGGGCACTCAACTCTCTCGTACACCCGTGTGTACGAGAAACACGCGAGAGGTTAAAGAACAATAGGTTGCGGTCACCGGTGTCCTCGCGATATTTGACAGTTTAAGACTCGCTTCTCATTCATGAGGGTTCGAAACCTACTAACGGTAAGTACCAATGTGACTTTCTCCGAGTCATAATATATCAAAGTCAAAGTTAAAATCATTTATTTTAATTAGACCAGAAAGGCACTTTTGAACGTCAAAAACCAAATATTTAAATAATAAGAAAAAATGTCAGTCTGTAAGTCAGTCCTCTAGTGAAGTTATTTGCTCATTCCAAAGTGTAGAATCCTATGTAGAAGATTGAGCAAGAAACTCCATAGGTTACTCTTTTTCAATCAGGTTCACAATACAATTTTTTTGTTACATTCTATACGTATTTTCTAAGATTATGTACTTTCTAAGATTATTTAGACACCACTGACAAACGGGAATATTATACTATTATATAAAGCGGAAGAGTTTGTTTTGTTTTTTTGTTTGTTTGAACGCGCTAATCTCCGTAACTACAAGTCTGATTTGAATAATACTTTTTGTGTTGGATAACGCATTTATCGAGGATGGCTATAGGCTATAAAACATCACGCTACGACCAATAGGAGCTGAGCAGAGCGTGTGAAACCGCGCGGAAGTAGCTAGTTTAGTATATAGGCAGGACTGACTTAGGTGATATGATACTTAGATCCCTATTAAATGCTCCCATGGGATAGAACAACAATCATATTCTACGAGGAGGAAGTCGCGAACAACAGCTAGTACCATTAAAAGACATTTTCAACTCAAATAACACTAATCCCCAACCAGCAATGATCCCCAACCAGCCAATAATCCCCACTCAACAATCCCCAATAGACTAACCTGCTCTGTACGCTGGGCGTGTTGCGATGCGAGTCGGGTGAGTGAGCGTACGCCGGCGACGACGACATGTACGGGGGCAACGTCGTCACCAACACAGGTTTCACATACCCGTTCTTTAGCATCTCGTTTTCTGGTGAAAAAGTTGAATGTTAGCATGTTTGGGGTTTTTTTTTAAGGGGGGATAATCATCGAATGACTGCTCCCGTCCGGGTGAGGCGGGAGGGAGTGTCAGACTTTTACTGACTAAAAACCACCCCGTTCCTACTCCTGCACGTCGAGCCGGAGCCCCGGTTACCCGTTAGGTTCTCCGCGATAGCATGTTTGGGGTAGACATGAAAGTGAGTTTGGATGTGGGAGTGAATATACTCATATTCACTAGGTATGAGTGGGTATGAGCAAGCGAGTGAGTGAATATGAGTAAGTATGAGTAAATTAATGAGTGTGTGAGTATGCTTGATTTTGAATAAGTGAGTATGAGTGAGTGAATGAGTGAGTGACTGAGTATGCAACATGTATCAATTACGTTCTAAGATTATTTACACACCACTGACATACGATAAAACAAAACATCGCGTGTGGTATAATTTCTAAGTATAAAAAGCGCCTATCCGCCTTGAGCAAGCGTGGTGATTAATCCTCATTTCTTCATCTCCGTGTGAGAAGAAGCCTTTGCTCAGCTGTGGGTAATTTTAAGCTGTTGATGTGAAATGAAATGAAATGATATTTATTTCTAGTGCGTGTGTGTCTGTGTGTGTGTGTGTGTGTGTGTGTGCGTGTGTGAGGGTGGGTGTGAGGGGGGGTGTGTGTGTGTGTGTATTTGTTACTCACCGGGTTTAGTATAATATTTGGAGAAGACGTCGTCCTTAGCAATGTTGGGGTACAGGAACTGCAGCTGAGTGAGGTCGAGGACGCGGTCGGCCAGGGAGCGGAGCATCAGGTCGCGGGACGTGAACGGCTGGAGGCTGAACACTTCGTTGCCCTCTGTTGGGAGATAAAACTGCAGCTGTAGCCAAATGCCATTTAGCGCTTGTCCACATGTAAAATGCAATTTGTAACATCTACCTACAATGTTAATAATAATGAATGTATACCTACATAACTAAAAATGTTGCAATATCAGTAAGAGACCGCTAAGTATTAAGCACTGTAATAATTTTATAACCATCATCTGTACACTTAGTTGCAATAAACGCTTTGACTTTGACTTTGAGAATAGAAAACCAAATTATATGGAACTAGCTTTTACCCGCGGCTTCGCTCGCGTCACAAAAGGATAAAGAGTAGCCTATGTGACATATTCCAATACACACAGCGCCATCTATACCAATACTTTTGTTTTCCCTCGGGAATATCACATTTTTCCGGGATAAAAAGTACCCTATTATTTAATCAGGACTTCGAACTTTACGTCTGCAAAAATTCAAAGCAATCGGTTTAGTAGTTACTGCGTGAAAGCGGAACAAACAAATAAACAAACAAGCGCACTTTCCGATTTATAATATTAGTAACGATTAGTAAAGATAAAGATTGACGTACATTTAGACACTTGTCAGTGTCATCCCCATACATTTTGATTTCTACTCTCTCTGTAGACAAGCGCTAAAGTGGCGTTTGGCTAAAGGCACTGGTGTTATGTTTTTCAAGTCTTACGGTCGATTTTACCATAAAATGATAATCAAATTGTGTTTGATTGTCTTTCAAATTGCAATCCCTTTAACAATTATCAGAGGTGTTATTTTGTGAACGGAATATATCATTTCTCCCGCCTGGGTGTGGCGGGAGGGAGTGTCAGACTCTTACTGACTAAAAACCACCCCGTTCCTTCTCCTGCACTTCGAGCCGGAGCCCCGGTAACCTTTTACGTTCTTCTTCGTATCTGCATCAGGCCTATTGGGATCCGTGGTGGTCTGATGGCTCTTTGAGGCGCGCGCGGAACGCAACGCGCCGTACGCTCGGGAATTATCAGAGGCCTTTTTTTAAGGGGGGGGGGGGAAATCATCGAATGACTGCTCCCCCCTGGGTGAGGCGGGAGGGAGTGTTAGAATCTTACTGACTAAAAACCACCCCGTTCCTACTCTTGCACTTCGAGCCGGAGCCCCGGTAACTTTTTTCGTTCGTTCTCCGCGGCTCCGTATCGGCATCAGCCCTATTGGGATCCGTGGTGGTCTGATAGCTATTTCTGATCAGAGGTCTAGGACCTCGTCCTTTTTTACAGTCGGTAAAAAATCACAAAACAAAATACAATTTACAAACCAAAGATAAAAATTGCGAAAATTACCATCTACAATAATAGATGACGAACTTACCGCCAACCCATGCGATGGTGATGCCACCTAGCTCGGAGTCCGAGAAGCGAAGTAAGAACGTGCCAGCTGGACACTTGGACAACATCTCCTCGGCTTGCTTCTTTTGGATGAATCCCATGATCAGACTGTGTACGGTAAGAAGGTAGAATTAGAATACTATATATATAAAGCCATGCCCTTAATATAAAAGATGACATGAAAGTCATAGTGAATTGTAGTTTTTAACTTCCAAGAAAAAGTATTGAATTAAACATAACATAACGTGCATAACGTGCATATTACGGCACTTAATGCCACTGTACCGACTTTTCACTTTTTCTGTTATAAGTCCCATGTAATAGGGGGTGAGCCTATTGCCAATATACCGGGCACAATTCCAGACTTCGTGCTACTACTGAGATTATTTATAAAAACCCAGTAATACTTTGTCCGACACGGGAATCGAAACCGAGACACCTTGCCCGGCAGTCGCACTTGCGACCACTAGGCCAATGACACAGTCATATTGAATTGAAATAATTAAAAAAACACCCTTCCTTCAGTCAGCTATAAACTACTTTAAAATACTTACTGATCACACCACAGCGTCCTTAGATAATCCCTGGTCACCTTGACAACCATGTAGAACCACTCCCAGAACGTGAAGTTCCTCTCCGGCAGAGCATCCTTGCAGAACTGCGTCCAGGATACAGGCATAGCATTCAGCTCCATCGTGTTCAGCGGGAGACTGGTCCTGGGGACCGCGCATATACTTTATGTTACATATAGCGTATTGCTCAAATAGGGTATCGATCTTTGTACTATAATAGAAGTTAAGATACGAAACGTTGCTGTAAGGGGCGCAAAAGTTGCTTAAATTGGCGCAAAAGTTGCTTAAATTGGCGCAAAAGTTGCTGAAATGCTAATAGGCACAAAAGTAGCGCAAAAGGGGCGCAGAAGTTGCTTATTTGAGTGCAAAATTCACTTATGAGCGCTTAAGTTACTCATGGGCGCAAAAGTTGCTTAACGGAGCGCTAAGGTTGCTGAAATGCTAATAGGCACAAAAGTAGCTTAAAGGGGCGCAGAAGTTGATTTTATGGGCGCAAAATTCACTTATGAGCGCTTAAGTTACTCATGGGCGCTAAAGTTATTTAAATAGGCGCAAAAGTCACCTGTTAGACACCAAACTTAGTTAAAGGGGCGCAAAAGTTGCTTATATAGGCGCTAAAGTTACTTATGGGGACGTACGGACCCCGAGTGCCCTTATAGAGAAGACGGTACTGGTGACGGTGTATAGGTAAAACGTTTTAAACAAAAATTCCCACACATTTTGAAGAAGAAAATATCCTTATAAACGTCACTGTATACTAAGTTTACCTAAAAATCTTCTCCGCGAGGAACCTGAGGTTATCTTCTGATAGGTCCCCGCCGGTCGCCGAGCAGAATTTGATGCGAAGAGTCTCTGCAAGCTGTCCCCAGGTCACCTGAAAAGAAAATAGACAATTAACTATAAGAATAAGTCATTGAGACAAGCTGTTTTAATATTTGCAATGGATAGCCGATTGTCCACTATCTCGTCTGGTGGTAAGCGATGATGCGGTCTACGATGGTACAATAAAATATTAAAAAATAATCACACTTTCATTCATTGATTTTATGACCGACTTAAACTGTCAAACAACGCAGCCTATTGTTCTTTAATTGTGCCTATAATGCCGGTACTCAAAGAGTTAATTTTAGTAATTTTCTAGCATTTTTTTAAGAAATTATTGTGCTGTTATGGATCTTGTACCATCATAAGCAACCTATTCACTCGGGCCTTGAAGACACCCTTCAAGCAATGAAGATGTGTGGGTGAGATTATACCGGAGACCCAATTACCCCTCCCCAATCTACCCATTGAAAGATTGGTAGTTCGGGGAAATCCTCAATCCTCAAAAATCTGAACAGGTTGCTTATAGGTAGGCGTGCTCCATCTTCGGCCACATAATCGCGCACCACCAGGCTAGATGATTTTTTTTAAGGGGGGAAAATCATCGAATGACTTCTCCCGCCTGGGTAAGACGAGAGGGAGTGTCAGACTCTTACTGACTAATAACCACCCCGTTCCTACTCCTGCACTTCGAGCCGGACCCCGGTAACCCGTTAAGTTCTCCGCGGCTCCGTAGGCAAGATTGTGGGCAAACGTTGACCTATCACGCATAAAAAATCCCCTCTAGTTCTTTGAGTGTCCATGGGCGACGCCTATTGCTTACCATCAGGTGATCCATCGTCCATTAGCCGTGGTATTCCATAAAAATAATGATAAGTCCTTAAAATTATTCCTTTTTCTGCATATCGATGTTACATTGTCCTCAATCACTGAACCAGCTTAATAATATCTTATGTCGTAAGAGCAACTAAAGAACTACACATTAGACAGAGACCGGGCAGCAGCGCTCTCTGATAACCCTGAACCTTTTATACTGTGGTCTCCAACCCGCCTGCCTGCGGATATTATGACAAACCCTCTTATGTAGAGGAGACTCATAGTGCAGTGGACTGTCATGTATGTATGATACATAATGTAACCGAGAATTTTATTATGACAAAATTAAACAATAACCTATGGAGTGCTTGCTCGTTCTTCTACATAGAAATCTATACTTTGGAACTAGGGGACTGACCGACGGACTGATATACATATTTAAATATATTATTTTATTATAGTGACTGCCTCGTTGGCCGAGTGGTCGCAGATGCGGGCCAGGCAAGAGTATCTGGGTTTTAAAAAAATCTCAGTAGTAGCACGGAGTCTGGAATTGTGCTTGGTATATGGCAATAGGCTCACCCCCTATTACATGGGACTCATAACATAAATAGTGATAAGTGGGGATTACATTGTACAGTGGCATTAAGTTCCGTAATGTGCACCTCTGCCTCCCCTCGGGGATAAAATACGTGATGTTATGTGTGTATTTTAAATTAATGGTTATAATGTAAACTAGTGCATGCATATAAATAACTAAAAGGGTACTTGATTACGTATTAATAATTATTATTATAAAAATCTACTAATCCTAAAACCAAATATAATTCAAAACTTATCAGAAATTGCTTTAATCTCTGCCTATCCCCTTGGAGAAGAAAAGACGCTATAATTTCAATTCCAAGAATCGAACCCACTACTTACTAATAAAAAAATCAAAATCTAATACCAAACTAACCTACCCCACTAATAAAAACAATAACCATGCTTGCTTGTAACATTCCCTACATTTCGGACGAACCCGAACACTTTCGGGCCCAACCGGAGCCGTTAACCATTTTCGGGCTCGCCCGAAAGAAGCCGCAAATATTAAAATAAAACGCAAAATAATTTTCATCTTGTATATAGATGTATAGAAATAAATAAAAACCGGTAATTTATATATATTATATCGGTTTTCGCCCTAATGGCTCACTGCTACGACTCACCCGGATTAAATGCACTGGGGTCTGCTCCGGTAATGTACAGAACAGAATATTATCATATTATAATTAAAATTTATAATTATTACAAGCATAGATTATCATTAATCCCATCTATAATAATGTCCAAGAATCAACGTCATGACTATATAATAGACTGCCTCGTTGGCCGAGTGGTCGCAAGTGCGACTGCCGGGCAAGGGGTCTCAGGTTCGATTCCCGGATCAGGCAAAGTATTACTGGGTTTTTCAGTACGGAGTCTGGAAATGGGCCCGTATATGGCAATAGGCTCACCCTCTATTACATGGGACTCGTAACATTAGTGAAAAGTTGGTGTTACATTGTGCAGTGGCATTAAGTGACGTAATATGCCTGTCTTTTATGGGGGCTAAAATGCTATATTGTAGAAAATACATTGTCTCGCATCGATCTACGTTCCCGGCATACCACGGGTTAATGCATTTTACATTTGAGGGAGGAAAATCATCCAATGACTTCTTCCTCCTTGGGTTAGGCGGGAGGGAGTGTCAGACTCTTACTGACTAAAAACCACCCCGTTCCTACTTCTGCTTTTCGAGCCGGAGCCCCGGCACCCCCATACGTGGTGGTCTGATGGCTCCCTGAGCGCGCGCGGAACGCGACGCGCCGTACATACAGTACACAGGGTCTGACATTTTACACCCTACGCCCATCATTCATCATCTACTTTACTACCACTATTTATCTAGTTTAGACTAAAAAACTACGATTATTATAATTAATGTATCATGTCGTGGTGGCCCGGAGGTTTAAGACTTATCATGCATAAGAATGCGGGTTCGAAACCTACCAACGGCAAGTACCAATGTGACTTTTTCCGAGTTATATGTACATTCTAAGATTATCTAGACACCACTGACAAACGGTGAAGGAAAACATCGTGAGCTTATGATTTCTAGGTATAAGATTGAAATCGCCAAACCGCATTCAGCAAGCGTGGTGGTTAATGCTCAAGCCTTCTCCGTGTGAGAAGAGGCTTTTGGTCAGCAGTGGACACTTATAGGCTGTTGATGATGACGATTATACATAAGGCTTAAGAATCTGATTTACACCCTAAAAACCGCTGTCGCTGATTTTGTGGCGACATGAAATTCATTACAATTGAAAAAAATTACTACAGACTATAGTTAGTTTATTATTAGTATACTACAAACTATGTTTATTTCTTAAACAATTATTTTAATCCTAACAATGACATTTTAATCTATGTTTAAAGGTCTTTTGTAAAATTAAGTCAACGAGGATCAACATTTAAACTGTCAAACACCGCGAGGACACCGGTGACCGCAACCTATTGTTCTTTAATTGTGTCTATAATGACGGTACTCAAAGGGTTAAACAGATAAACTAAGACATAGGGGAATGGCACCCGAAAGCGGCGATCATTTTAATATATTTTACCACTAGCAACCCGCCCTGGCTTCGCACGGGTACAATATGCATGTATTATACATATAAACCTTCCTTAAGAATCACTGTATCCATTAAAAAAACCGCATCAAAATCCGTTGCGTAGTTTTAAAGATCTAAGCATACATAGGGACAGACAGACGGCTGATAGCGACTTTGTTTTATACTATGTAGTGATTAATACCAATTCACTGCATGCAATCAGATTTTGGAATATCTACGCGAATGAATGCATGCATACTGGACAACACATTAGCGAATGACAAATGGGTTTTTTAAGGGACAAGCTCGCCACAACCTCCCAAAACCGCTGCAACGCTGTAAGCCAGGATCTACCGTAGATACAACCATGAAAACACCGGAACACTGAAGTCCGGCGCGTCCCAGGGACATGAATAACTGTCTTGGTTCCCGCATGAAGTGAATCAGAAGATATTATAAGAGGAGAAGAAGAAAAACGATAGTTTCCACTTCCCTCGGTGAATTACTGCAGGAGACAGAGTGAATTAAGCCTAAAGGCACAAAGAAAAGAGACTGTACAACTGGGTGAAGTCCAGTCGCCAAGCACCACGGAAATTTGACTAAAATCTAAGTGGGTCCTATGTGTGAGCTGTTATACTTGCTTCCAATAATAGGTATAGCAAAAGCGCATAAACGCACGGAAATTTGTTATAGATTCCACAAGGTCAGTATAATAAGCTGTACCTGACGAAAGAATTAAATTATTTAACATAGTGTTACGTTCATACTGCCAGAGATCACACTCCCAGTGTATGTGATGGGCGGACTGCTCGTATTGCAACTCCGCTATCGAACATTGGCACCATGGTGAATCAATAAGTTTAAATGAGAACAATTTGCTTTTAAACTTGCCGTGGCCAGTAAGAAATTGGGGACAAATCCTTACTAATATTATAAATCGGAAAGTGAGTTTGTTTGTTTGTTCCGACTTCACGCCGTAACTACTAAACAGATTGCATTGAATTTTTGCAGACGTAAAGTTAGTAGTCTGGATTAAATAGGGTACTTTTTATCCCGAAAAAAATTGATATTCCCGAGGGAAAACAAAAGTATTGGTATAGATGGATCTGTGTGTATTGGTATATGTCACATAGGCTACTTTTTATCCTTTTATGACGCGAGCGAAGCTGTGGGTAAAAGCTAGTGGATTTATAAACCACGGTTTATAACATAAATAGTGAAGTCTCAACGTGTTCTAGAGTGGAGACCGCGTCTAGGCAAACGCAGTGTAGGGCGCCCTCCAGCTAGGTGGAGGGACGACATCTGCAAAGTGGCTGGCAGTGGTTGGATGAGAAGAGCTGAAGACCGAGCTCAGTGGCGTGCCATAGGAGAGGCCTATGTCCAGCAGAGGACGAATACGGGCTGATGATGATGATGAGTGTAAAGTGGGTGTTACATTGTACAGTGGCATTGAGTGCTGTAATGTGCACCTCTGCCTACCCCTTCGGGGTTAACCTCTCGCGTGTTTTTTTAACTTCAACTCTCTCGTACACCCGTGTGTACGAGACAGTTGATTGCCCATCGCGCAATTGTACACACGGGTGTACGAGAAACGCGCACCGATTGGATATTTTTTCTGTGACGTATATTTTCAAGTTTGCAACCCGTTCTTTATTTGATTGAACAGAATAGTTAATTCGCTTTTCTATTAAAATATTTACCCGTGGTACGAGAGGCGCGCGAGAGGTTAAAACGCGGGGTTAAATTACCCACGGCTTTGCCAGCGTATTCCTGTTTTATCTCATGGGAGGATTTAATGGGGATAAAAAGTCTCCTATCACCTAAGTCAGCACATACCCTGCCTGTATACCAAATTTCATCAACATCCGTTCAGAAGTTTCAGCGTGGACTGCCTCGTTGGCCGAGTGGTCGCAAGTGCGACTGCCGGGCAAGAGGTCTCGGATACGATTGCAGGGTCGGGCAAAGTATTATTGAACTTTTTTGAAATATCTCAGTAGTAGCACGGAGTCTGGTATTGTGCCCGGTATATGGCAATAGGCTCACCCCCTATTACATGGGATTCATAACATAAATAGTGAAAATAAGTGTTACATTATACAGTGGCATTAAGTGCCGTTACCGTGCATCTCTACCTACCTCTTCGGGGGTCTTAAAATTCTCAGTAGTAGATATCTACTATATAAAAATAAGTCGGGTTTTCCTTCCTGACGCTATAACTCCAGAACGCACGAACCGATTTCCACGGTTTTGCATTCGTTGGAAAGGTCTCGGACTTCGTGAGGTTTATAAAATATAAAAAAAAAGGTTTCTTCATCTTTTAATCACCAAACGAAATGTTACATAAAACGAAGCCATCTGGTGGCGAAACGGAGTTCGCCGGGTTTGCTAGTACTTCATATTATAAAACTGAACAGTTCGTTTAAACACGCTAATCTCCAAAACTACAGCTTCGAATTAAATAATTATTTTTGTGTTGAATTATCCATTTATAGAGGAAAGCTAAAGGCCTTATACATCACGCTACGACCAAAGAAATAGGTAGTATTTCACAAAAAATAAATAACTTGCCTTATCCGGTACAGCGAAAGGCACCCGTCCTGGTGGGCTGAAGGCATTGTCCCATGTGACAGTAGCCCAGCCGTGCGGCTCCTGGTTGCCGTGGACAATCACCACCACTGGCAAAGATAGCGTCCAGACCTGGGGATTGACAAAATTAGGATTAGATGGGTTGGGTAGTCGTTTCCTGAAGTTAGGTTCAAAGGCCTCTTCTCACACGGAGAAGGTTTGGCATTAATCACCACGCTTGCTCAACGCAGGTTGGCAATTTCAAACTTATAATTAGAATTTATAAGCCCAGGTTTCCTCACGATGTTTTCCTTCACCGTTTGTCAGTGGTGTCTAAAAACCTTAGAAAGTACATGTAACTCGGAAAAAGTCACATTGGTACTTGCCGTTGGTAGGTTTCGAGCCCGCACCCTCGTGCATGAGAAGCAGGCGTCTTCAACCTCCGGGCCACCACGACATTACCAAAGTATGGTTTAATTAAACTGTCAAACACCGCGAGGACACCGGTGACCGCAACCTATTGTTCTTTAATTGTGTCTATAATGACGGTACTCAACGAGTTAATTAAAATCCTTACTAATATTATAAATCTGAAAGTGAGTTTGTTTGTTTGTTTGTTTGTTCCACCTTCACGCCGTAACTACTCAACCGATTGCTTTGAATTTTTGCAGACGTAAAGTTAGAAGTCCGGATTAAATAATAGGGTACTTTTTAACCCGGAAAAAATTGATATTCTCCAGGAAAAACAAAAGTATTGGTATAGATGGCGCTGTATGTATTGGTATATGTCACATAGGCTACTTTTTATTCTTTAGTGACGCGAGCGAAGCCGCGGGTAAAAGTTAGTACAAAATAATTCGCCACTGACCTGGAACACCAGCTCTCCTCCACCAACGTTGAACTGAGATTGGAACAGCAAAGTCAGCTTCTCATCCATCACGCTTTCCGTACCTTTCTTCTCAGCACGCTTGATTTTACGGAGTTGCATGTTGCTGGTGATTAATAGAGAAATTTTTGTTAATCACCATGAAAAAAAATTTTGTTTTTAAGCTTGTAAACTGTTAGTAGATCTGTTAATACTACTCATTATCACTAATCACCACATCACAAAATGGTATAATATTGATTTGTAACTTGAATTCTTAAATATATCGTCCACAGACGGGTTCAAAAGACAACATTAATTAATCACCACCACAAAAAATCGACAAAAATCAGAGTAACTCGCGATAAACTTCAACATAAACATCCCAAAACACATAAAATCCAAAAATTCACTAATCCTCACTAATCCCCAAAATCACCACTTCAAAAAATCTTACCGGAAGCTGACGCTAAGCTGCCTGCTGGTTGGCTGGTACTCCATAGAGCCGGTATTGTTCAATATATCACCACACTCCACCGGCTGCTTGCCTTTACCGGCTTGGGTCTCGCTCTTTAGAAGCAATTGAGCTTGTTGTTCGGATATTATTACGACCTGATGACAAATATACGTTTTTAATAATTTAAGTGTGAGAGAGCCATGTTTCGGCACGAATGGGCCGGCTCGACCGGAGTGATACCACGGTCTTACAGTACACTGGCGTGAAGCAACGCTTGCGTTGTATTTCGTCGTGCGAATGAGGTTACCGGAGGTCCAATTACCCCCCTCACAAATTTCCCCAATCCCCGAATCCCCAACAATCCTCAAATTCCTAATCCCCAAAAGGCCGGTAACGCACTTGTAACGCCTCTGGTGTTCCGTGTGTCCATGGGCGACGCCGATTGCTTACCATCAGGTGATCCGTCTGCTCGTTTACCGGCTTATGCCATAGAAAAGTAAGTTTGGGAGCACTTTTAGCATGATAATGTTAAATGAGTATAACTTTTATCCGCGAAGTGGTAGGCAGAGGTGCATATTACGCCATTTAAGCCACTGTACAATATAACACCCACTTTTCACTATTAATGTTATGAGTCCCATGTAATAGGGGGTGAGCCTATTGCCATATACCGGACACAACACAATTCCAAACCCCGTGCTACTACTGAGATTAAAAAAAACCCAGTAATTCTTTGTCGGACCCGGGAATCGAACCCGAGACCCTTTGCCAGGCAGTCGCACTTGCGACCACTCGGCCAACGAGGCAGTCTCAGTCGAGGCAAGCGAGTCAATCAGTATTAAATTGTAATAAAAACACAAATACTCACGCTGACTCGGGGCGGCGTCATGTACACGTTGAGTTGACCTCCGACCAGTAAACGTACTGTAGCCGTGAAGCTGAGGACAATATACAACAAATTAATATCTACATAAAGAAATAAGGTTTCTTTATTTATTTTCTACGGACCTATGGACCACCAAAAATTTACACACAACATAAACATTGAAAAACAAAAAAAAAAAGAAAACAATATAAAAACATAAAATAACAAATTAAAAAAAAACAACAATAAAGCAAAAAAAAACATAAAAAAAAGCAAAATAAAAGAGACAGGGACTCAGTATAAGCTGGGCACAGTAAGTACCCAACACTGGTTTTCAGTTGGCACCCCTGCAGTGACGCACGGACGGAAGCAACAAAAATTATTTAAAGGAAAATAATAGGAATACATAAGACACATGTTAAAACAATAAAAGAAAAGGGAGATATTTAAACACAGACCTCTGTGTGTGGACTCAGTGATCAACTGGGTGGCAATAAACTGGGCCACGTGGACCAGTTGTACATAATTAATTATGCCTACTATTAATTTCAAATAGGAAAGCGCACTCTAATTTCGTAACGGCTGTAGATACTGTATTTAAGTAAAAACAAAATGGTACCTACAAGGTAAATATTTATTCTATTTGAAGTTACTGAAACAATCTGTATCTGACTGTACTGTATACTTTCGGCCCACTTAACCACAGCAAATTAAATAATAAAATCACGTCCGCAAAATCAAAGCGCGTTCGGCCCAGTTGGCCACAAAAATAGTAGTAGGCATAATTAATTATGTACAACTGGTCCACGTGGCCCAGTTTATTGCCGCCCAGTTGATCACTGAGTCTGTGTGTGCACATTGTGCGATAAATTAATAAATAAATAAAAAATAAGTATACATACATAAACTAGAATACTGAAACGTTACTTAATTTTAAGTCATGCTTAAATATCGTGCCATCTCTGTCATTTTACAAAGAATTTTTGGAGACAGAACTATACTTAAGCACGACTTAAAATTAAGTAGCGTTTGTGTATTTCGACATCTGTCGGTAAAGTAGAAGTTTATTTAGAAGGATGATAGATGGAGCTACCGGGGCTCCGGATCGACGTGCAGGAGAAGGAACGGGGTGGTTTTTAGTCAGTAAGAGTCTGACACTCCTTCCCGCCTCACCCAGGCGGGAAAAGGCATTGGATGATTCTCCCACCTCAAAAAAAAGGAACTACACATTTGACAGAGACCGTGCCGTGCCGTAAGGTTACCGGAGGACCGTATTGGACCTCCGGTAACCTCACTCACACGACGAAACACAACGAAAGAGTTGTTTCTTTACTTTCACTATGGTTTACCTATATAGTGTGGCGACACATGCCACATGTCAACGGATGACGTCACAAGAATCCTACATCGCACATGCAAAGTTTACAAGCGAATAAACACGGATAGAAAATCCCAACGAACAACTGTTGGGCAGAAAGCCCGCCAGGCACGATCACCTCGCTTGGTCGGAGGATCCTCCTTTTCCGATCTTAGGGAACTATACTCTCTGTTCCCTAAAATAGTATACCTCACCCAGGCGGGAGAAGTCATTCGATGATTTTCCCCCTTAAAAAAAAAAAATAAGTCCCCCTCACTCCGTACCATGATCTAAACCACGCGAAAGGTCGCCATCGCCATGTGTAGTTCCTTAGTCGGGTATACGACGCTCGCGTAAAGAGATAAGGTAAGGTTAGTTTGTAAACTCACCGGGTGTTGGTCTTCATAACCTGCGGCGGTTGTTTCTCGATCACGAACGTCGATGTCACCAGAGTGGACAACAGTCCTGTCACCTGTTACAAAAAAAACATACATTTTATATTTATTATTTTATTTATAACTAGCTTTTGTTTTTCTCCCGTTCCCGTAGGATTTTCAGGATTTTTTCTGTCTTAAGAACCTTCTCCTAATAATAACAAATACAAAAAAAAAATCACCCAAATCGGTCAAGCCGTTTTCCTGCTATGTCGTGACAACGAAAAACGGGTTTCATTTTTCTATATATATATAGACTAGCGACCCGCCCCGGCTTTGGAAAGATGCAATATGCATGTATTATACATGTATAAACCTTCCTTAAGAACCACTGTATTAAAAAAAACCGCATCAAAATCCGTTGCGTAGTTTTAAAGATCTAAGCATACATAAGGACAGACAAACTGCAGATAGTGACTTTGTTTTATACTACGTAGTGAAATAAAAATAATATATACTAATAATTTGTAGTTTATTCACCTTTTTTACTGGCATCAAAAAGAAAATAAAGTCCTGTATGTATGTGTGGGAGAGCCATGCTTCGGCACTGCTGGGCCGGCTCGACCGGAGTGATACCACGGCCTCACAGAAAACCGACGTGAAGCAACGCTTGCGTTGTTTTTCGTCGTGTGAGGACCGGAGGCCCAATTACCCCTTCCCCCCTTTCCCAATCCCCCAACAATCCTCAATTTCCTAACGCCCAAAAGGCCGGTAACGCACTTGTAACGCCTCTGGTGTTCCGTGTGTCCATGGGCGACGCCGATTGCTTACCATCAGGTGATCCGCATTCTCGCTTTTTTTTTATATATTTGATGGGTCGACATTTGCCCACTATCTCGCGTTGTGGTAAGCGATGATGCGGTCTACGATGGAGCACGTCGTCCCATTGTTTACCGGCTTATCCCATAATAAAGAAGTTTCATACCTGTTTGCTCATCTCATCCAACATTTCAGTTAGATTTACCAGAGACCCAATTACCCCTCCCCCTTTTCCCAATCCCTGAATCCCCAACAAACCTCAATTTCTTAATGCCCAAAAGGCTGGTAACGCACTCGTATTGCCTTTGGTGTTCCAGGTGTCAATGGGAGACGCCGATTGCTTACCACCAGAGGGCCAAGCACGAAAAACTATCGCGTTCGTACCGTAACAGTATCGAGCGAGTTAAGCGTTCTGGGTGCTTACTCTTGAAACCAATCTCAATGTCAATGCAATTTCAATCCAATAAAATCTCAATACTTATTCAATGTCAAAACTATACAACCACAATCGTAGCTGTTAATATAGCATTCAGAGTACGGAATATAAAGACAAACTCAATACCATTTAGTTCATTCAATATCCACGCAATACGGATGCAATGGACGCCAATGTTGCAACTCAAGAGTACGAAATTTCGCAATACCAATGTCGAGCGATCGGAATTGGATTCAAGAGTAAGCCCACTGATTGGTTGGTTCACTTGAGCCGGCCAATCAGAGCGCCGAACGCGCTCGATACTGTTACGTTACTAATACGATAGTTATTCGTGCTTGGCACTCAGGTAATCGTCTGCCCGTTTACCGGGTTATCCTATAAAAAAAAAGTTTCATACCTGTTTGCTCATTTCATCCAGCATCTCAGCTAGATGCGGCTGCCGCAGCTCGACGATGGTCTTGGTGTTGATGCGGGCGACATTGTTGACTTGTTGCCGGGTCGTCCAGATCAGGTCGGCCAGGAGTTCACACCACTCTTGTATGGTATTCAGGTTGGATTGCATTGGAACGCCGTTACCGCTTAGTTGCTGTTCGCGTTTCCATCTGGGGAAGAAATTGGTAATATTTACTTTTTTTTTTACGTAGCTTCACCTAGTTTCACTGACGGACTGACTGACAGACTATTATTTATTTTGTATTTGTTGACGTTTTTTTTTTTTTTTTATAATTTATGGGGCGACGTTTGACCACTATCTCACCTGTTGGTAAGCGATGATGCGGTCTACGTTGGAGCACGTCGTCCCATAAGCAACCTATTCACTCGGGCCTTGAAGACTCCCAGGTTATACCCTTCAGGAAATACAGACTCTGGCAAAGAATTCCACTCTTTAGCAGTACGCACAAGGAAGCTTGAAGCGAAGCGCTTCGTGCGTGTGGGCGGAACATCTACCATGAATCGGTGACGCTTCGCGGATTGTCTTGTGGTACGATGATGGAAAGGACTAGGGGGAATCAAGTTGTGCAATTCCCCCGCACACTCCCCGAAATGTATCCGGTAGAAAACCGAAAGGCTTGCAACCAACAATAATAATGTCGATCGATCGGAATTGGTTTCAAGAGTAAGAAAAGATAATAGCTTCATAAACCACAAACTAACAAGAAAAAGGTGAAAAAAAACATTCTAGGTCCCCCCTCCCCTCCTACTTACTTGATAAGTTCCTCATCCAGCACCTGGCTCTGCAGCTGTCGAAGGTTGGCGATATTCTCCTTCATATGATCCACCAGCTCCATTTGAGACTGGCTTATTTGTGCAACCTGGAATTAAGGTGATAATAGAAGTTTCGGGTAGGTTCGATCGGTTTCGGAGTTAAACGGGAGTCCATGACCATTTTCGAGGATACAAAAAGTATGACATTTCGGGTCCTGTAATTTGTGAACGGCAATTCCGTGTTTTCTTTGCTGTCTTTTCTAAAAACCATTTCAAGTTCGAAGCCGAAGTTTAAAAGTATTTTAACATAACATAACATAACATCACGCCTTTTTATCCCCGAAGGGGTAGGCAGAGGTGCACATTATACCACTGTACAATGTAACACCCACTTTTCACTATTTATGTTATGAGTCCCATGTAATAGGGGGTGAGCCTATTGCCATATACCGGGCACAATTCCAGACTCCGTGCTACTACTGAGAATATTTAAAAACCCAGTAATACTTTGCCCGACCCGGGAATCGAACCCGAGACCCCTTGCCCGGCAGTCGCACTTACGACCACTCGGCCAACGAGGCAGTTTAAAAGTATTTTCAGTTTTGAAATTCTCAATAACAAAAGATTTTTCTTCTATCAGAATAAATAATCTTTAATTACATAGCCAATGTTAAAATTATAGTGTTACTAGCGACCCGCCCCGGCTTCGCACGGGTGCAATAGTCATGTATCATACATACAAACCTTCCTTAAGAATCACTCTATCTATTAAAAAAAACCGCGTCAAAATCCGTTGCGTAGTTTTAAAGATCTAAGCATACATACGGACATACAGCGGAAGCGACTTTGTTTTATACTATGTATTGATATTGATATGACATGGTTTTTTTTTTAAGGGGGGAAAATCATCGAATGGCTGCTCCCGCCTGGGTGAGGCGGAAGGGAGTGTCAGACTCTTACTGACTAAAAACCACCCCGTTCCTTCTCCTGCACGTCGAGCCGGAGCCCCGGTTACCCGTTAGGTTCTCCGCGACATATGACATGGTTTAAATATAATAATAATTTTTAACTATAAGTTTGAAATCGCCAACCCGCTATGAGCAAGTGCTGTGATTAATGCTCAAACTGAAAAGAGGCTTTGCTCAGTGGGCACTTATAGGCTGTTTATGTTGAATAGACTCTCTGTGAGTAAGAAACCAATTTTTATGCACGGATAAATTATTCTTTGTTTCTTTCTTTTCTTTAAAAACGTTGTCCCACACTAGGATTTTCTACTATGTCTTGGGCGCGTTTTACAAACATACAAGTTCACATACACATAATACCCAGACCCGGAACAACAATTTGTGGATCACACAAAGACTTATTCCGTGCGAGAATCGAACATGCGACACGTTGCGCGGCAGCCAGTTGCCCAGCCACCGTGCCAATCGTGCAATCGCTATACTAATTACTACACATAGACATATTTCACACACACTATTCATGGACGAGCTTAAAGCTATTAAAAAGATTTGTCTCAGTTTTTGTGAAAGTCTCTGAAGTCTGTGTTGAATTGTATAATTAAATGTTTTGTTTTCATTTTACTGTTATATTTCTTTTTTGTCTAATTGTCTGATTTTTCTTTATGTTTTTTAATTGAATTTTAATTGTATTTTTTTTAATGTGATGTTTATTTACGTGTTTCATTTTTTTTCGTTTGCTGTTATTGTAACCGTTTGATTCTCTTTGATTTCTCTTTGTATGTGTGTTAATGTAATTGGTGTAAAGCCGTGTTAACATCACAATAATAAATAAATAAATAGACACATTTAGATTAATAATAAAAACATTATAACGTACAAGAGCGTTGAGCTTTCTCTCCGTCTCTTCAATCTGGACGCGCAGGCAGGCCACTAGGTCACGGCGCTCATTCGTCATCGATTGTTGAAGGTAGTTCATATGTCCTGCGGGATAAGGGTCATTTTGATATGGAAGCTGTATATATTAGAAGTGGGCGTAGGAGAATTAGATGTTATGACATAACATCACGCCTTTTATCCCCGAAGGGGTAGGCAGAGGTGCACATTATGCCACTGTATACAATGTAACACCCACTTTTCACTATTTATGTTATGAGTCCCATGTAATAGGGGGTGTTATGATTTTGAGAATAAGGCTTATTCAGCTACATATTTGAAGCGTTATATTTGGAAGTCGTTCAGTTCATACGTCCTATGGAATAAGGGTCATACATAACATCACGCCTTTTATCCCCGCAGTAATAGGGGGTGAGCCTATTGCCATATACCGGGCACAGTTCCAGACTCCGTGCTACTACTGACATTTTTTTTGTAAAACCCAGTATTACTTTGCGCGACCCGGGAATCGAACCCAAGACTCCTTGCCCAGCAATCGCACTTGCGACCACTAGGCCAACGAGGCTGTCAACACATGTTACTCTCTATGCTCACGGACTTATGCACTCTATCTATTAAAAAAACCGCATCAAAATCCGTTGCGTAGTTTTAAAGATCTAAGCATACATGGGGCAGACAGACGGCGGATAGCGACTTTGTTTTCATTATAAATGATTAAAACAATTTCTGTTATCGAGCACACCGCTTTATATCTCACTAGTTTTTGGCAAAGTGAAAGAGATAATAAAAAACACATAGACAATACAAAACTACAATAGAGGGATAGTCATAGACTACAAAGTGGGATTAAATTCTATTACAAAGAATAAACTATTATTTCGATATAAATAAACAACAGTTTTATACTATGTAGTGATATTATCACCATAATTATATATATAGATTATTAATAATATTAAGAAAGTCGTGTTAGTTACACTATTTATAACTCAAGAATGGCTAAATCGATTTGGATGAAAATTGGTGGGGAGGTAGCTTAGAACCAGGAAACGGACATAGGATACTTTTTACCCAATTCTTTTTTTTACTTGTTACCGAAAATCAAGAACGGGAACGGGAATTACCGGGATTGCGCGTACGAAGTCGCGGGCAGAAGCTAGTTTCAAGTAAAACTAATCTGAGTATAATTCAATAATCGACCAACAAAACACTGACCTTTGTTCTTCAAGCACTCGTGGTACTGAAGCGAGAAGGATTCAATGTTAGCTTGGAGACTGCGGATCTCCTCACCGACCATGCTGACCTTCTGGCGGACTGTTTGCAGACCGGTTATGAGCTGTGGACAAAAAATTATATATTACTAGCGGACCCAACAGACGTTGTCCTGCATATCCACTTGAATGTATAAACAAAAATTCATTCAAATTAGTTCAGCTGTTTAGGATAAGTAACCTAAACACGACTGCAGCGCCATCTGCCGGGCTGATTTGTGAATCTAAACCATTCCCAGATCCCCTTGGACACACACAAAAAAATTCATCAAAATCGCTTCAATCGTTTGAGAGAAGTTCAGTGACATACGCACTCACAGAAGAATTATATAATTATATAATGAACTAGCTTTTACCCGCGGCTTCGTTCGCGTCACAAAAGAATAAAAAGTAGCCTATGCGACATATACCAATACACACAGCGCCATCTATACCAATTCTTTTGTTTTCCCTCAGGAATACCAAAATTTTCCGGAATAAAAAGTACCCTATTATTTAATCCAGACTTCTCATTTTACGTCTGCAAAAATTCAAAGCAATCGGTTTAGAAGTTACGGCGTGAAAGCGGAACAAACAAACAAACAAATCGATCGGAATTGGATTCAAGAGTAAGGCCCCAGGTGATAATTTATCACCGATCCGATGACACCGAATTTCGATCGATCGACATTGGTATTGTGAAATTTCGTATTTATTTGAATAATTATTGAGGTTTTATAGGATTGCAATTGCATTGACATTGAGATTGGTTTCAAGAGAATATACACTCTCACCTATAGACACTCAGCACTATCATAACATGTCCACCTCTGCCTACCCCCTCAGAGAACAAACATAATACAAACAAAAAACAAACGAATAACATCACGCCTTTTATCCCCGAAGGGTTACGGCACTTAATGCCACTGTACAATGTAGCACCCACATTTCACTATTTATGTTATGAGTCCCATGTAATAGGGGGTGAGCCTATTGCCATATACCGGGCACAGTTCCAAACTCCGTGCTACTACTGAGATTTAAAAAAATATCCCAGTAATACTTTGCTCGACCCGGGAATCGAAACCGAGACCCCTTGCCCGGCAGTCGCAATTGCGACCACTCGGCCAACGAGGCAGTCAGAAAACAAAATGGCGTAATAAAAGGAGGGCGTAAACATCACAGACAGTTTATATGTAATATAAATATTAAAATTATCAAAATACAAACAGTAGTTCACCGATATTGTTATCTATCTATATCGGAAACGATATCAGTATTTTGGTTATCAACAAATATACTGTATAAAATGTGTATTTAGGAACGATCGCATTACGTACCTATAATATTATTATAGTGCATAGATAATCTTTATATATATAGTTCTTCTGTGAGTGTGTATGTCACTGAACTTCTCTCAAACGACTGGACCGATTTTGATGAAATTTTTTGTGTGTGTTCAAGGGGATCTGGGAATGGTTTAGATTCACAAATCAGCCCGGCAGATGGCCTGCAGTCGATGTTTAGGTTATTTATCCTAAACAGCTGAACTAATTTGAATGAATTTTTGTTTATACATTCAAGTGGATATATACTGACATACACTGGCCAGATTGGTGATATATTAAAGAAGGGCAAAATTAAAAGTACCCTTAACCGACGAGCATGCATGAAAACATTGATGACTGTTGATAAAGCGAAAGAGATGTGTGGGAATCGTAGTAATTGGCGTTCCATATTCTCTGCCTACCCCCATGGGAGACAGGCGTATGGATAATCCCAACCAGTAATATAAATGCGAAAATATATTTTTTTTTAATGGGACAAGCCCGCCCCAACCTCCCCAAGAGCTGAGCCCCGGCCTATTGCGCTGCGACGCTCCATAATATTCTTTTTATGTTTATTGTAGAGGTATTGTTCTCTACATATGTATCGTAGCGTAATAAACGGTTTTTCTTTCTTTTCTTTCATCCTTAATCCTTAATCCTTAACTAATATTATAAATCTGAAAGTGAGTTTGTTTGTTTGTTCCACTTTCACGCCGTAACTACTAAACCGATTGCTTTGAATTTTTGCAGACGTAAAGTTAGAAGTCTGGATTAAATAATAGGATACTTTTTAACCCGGAAAAATTTGATATTCCCGAGGAAAAACAAAAGTATTGGTATAGATGGCGTTGTGTGTATTGGTATATGTCGCATAGGCTACTTTTTATCCTTTTGTGACGCGAGCGAAGCCGCGGGTAAAAGCTTGTTCTTTCATATAAGGCACTCACCTCGCTGTACTTTCTCTCCGTCTGAGGCTGGGCTACGTATGGAGTACCCATAGCATTCTGAATGACGTCCATCTCCAGCGCCAGCGAGCGGCGCATGTACGCATACAGCTCGTGCGGAGCGTGGCTGTTGACAATCAAAATCAAACGTTGAAGATCAAAGTCAAAGTCATGATCAAAATCAAAATGGAAAGAGACCAAATTTAAAATCGAAGATGGACATCAAAATTTAAGACAAGATCAAACGCTACATCAATTTAAAGGTCAAGATCAAAATCAAAAGCTATTTCAATGTCAAAGTCACGGTTAAAATAAATACAAGATCAAAATTTTAGTCAAAAATTACATCAAAATCAAATTTAATGCACAGCTTCATAGTTCAAACTCAATCCTCAAATAATAGACATAAAATTCGAAGCAAACTTTGACTATCAAAATAAAATACCACTATACTACTGAAAAAAATCAAAAAGGGAGATCAAAGTCAAAATCAACTTTGATTTTCAAATAAAATTAAATCAAATATCTTTTCGTTTGCCTAAGAAGAAAACAAAATCAAATACCACTTTCCATGTATTTCAGTAAACAAATAACAACTTAATAAGAAATAAAATTTTGAATTCAGCAAAACGGATAAAGCTCAATTTTCAATGTATAATTATAAATTTCAACAGAAATTAAGATTCACAGAATTATTCTATAAACCACATCAAAATATATTTCCTGTGAATTCTATAAATCATATTTCTGCATAAAACTATACCAGCTTTCCACTAACGGCTTTGCTTATAAAGAATTTAAAATATTACCTTCTAATAATTCCCAATTCTGTACAAATATTGAGCTAACAAAATCATTACTAAATAAAAACTAAAAAAAAAAACAGTTTTAAATTTTAATCATAACAAAACATAACATTACTCTTTTTAACCCCGAAGGAGTAGGCAGAGGTGCACATTACGGCACTTAATGCCACTGTACAATGTAACACCCACTTTTCACTATTTATATTGAGTCCCATGTAATAGGGGGTGAGCCTATTGTCATATACCGGGCCATTTCCAGACTCCTCCTCATGCTGAGATTTAACCCATATATCCCCAAGCGGTCACCGGTGACCGCTCTCCACTAACTACATTATAAACCTTATTACCAATGTTTAGAGACTACTTTTATATAAACAAATTTAGGGGATGATTTTCAACAATTTCAATGGTTAAAAAGAACCAGTAATACTTTCCCAACCCGGGAATCCACTCGGCTAATGAGTTTTAATCATATTCCTCATTATTAATGAGCCTGACCTCGATATGTTTACTAGTAGGCAGTACAAAGTTCCATCATCGGACCAGCTCGATGGCACCATAATATTGTATTGTACATAATACTACACAATTGCCAAGTTTCACGATGATACAACAATTACAATTATCAGATTCTTAGATTTTCTTACATAGTTTTTTATCCTTCAACCTAATAAAAGCATGCTAAAGTGTATCCTATGTTAGTTCGGGTAAACATGACTTTCTGATGGTAAGAGAATTACAGCAGGACCTATTTAATCCGAACCCCTCTGTAATCCCAACGCCCCCGCGCGTTTTGAAATTACGAGACAAAGCATTTTATTTGTCATTAAACACCACACGACAACCCAAAATACTGGATTAAACTACTGAACTGACCAAAATACTGAAAACGTTGAATAAAATATGTAACGTTTATAGATGTATTTGTTTATTTATGTACCTATTAAGTAATTTTATTCACAAAAATACCCTTATCATCTATACCCCTACAATCCGAACGCTCCAGTAATCCGAGCGGAGCTAAAATTTTCAGAGTTCGGATTAAAGAGGTCCTGCTGTAATCATATTGGTTCAGTAGTTCGATGCCTATTCAATATTTTCCCTTTATAATTCTTAGGTATAAAATACACATAAGATTACAATTATGAACAATTTCATGTCAGTTTTACCTTATTATGTTTTCATGTAAACACAGCTACACATCAAAGTATACAAAACCAGTTTATCCTGGTGTCGCATCGCATCATCTTACCGAACATTTAACGTTTAGTTTATACTGGTTATGTAAAGCTTGATGTGTAGCCGTGTGTTAATTTACTGCCTATGAGTGGCCACTGCTGAGCAAAGGGCTCTTTTCTCACACGAGAAGGCTTAAGCGTTAATCACCACGCTTGCTCAATGCAGGTTGGTGATTTCAAACTTATAATTAGAAATTATAAGCTCAGGTTTCTCACGATGTTATCCTTCACCGTTTGTCAGTGGTGTCTAAATAATCTTAGAAATGCATGAGAAGCCAGTCTTAACACCTCCGGGCCACCACGATTTTCATGTATACAAAAACAAATTTATTTTATTTTCATGGATAAAATAATTTAATTTCATGATAAATAAAAGTAAGGCAGATAATGCTAGGTAGGTGTCACACCAGTCTCTAAAATGTATTGTAACAGGTGTTGCACCGTGGAGCTCCGGAGCAGGTCTCTTATAGAGGACCCGGTGCCTTCATAAACGTGTTGAGTGCGGCCACCGGAGTGGTTTTAGTGAGGTAAAAATACCACGCTGCCTAATCTTTTATCCCCAAAAAACTAAGTGCCTTTTAAAGGTTTCACCCCATCATCAAAAAAGAGTCCAATCCTGTGAGGACGTAGTCTGACTCTGGTCGAGCAAGCCCATTCATAACGAAGCATGACTCAACCACAATATTTAACACTGATTTCTCTTTACAGATAACCTAGCCGTCATGTTCAGAGGCAAGGACTCGGATTACAAACCAACTAATGTTAAGATAACATCCGGCTGTATATATATATATATTTTATGCCTATAAAATTGTCTCTAACATCCTGTGACAGTCCAGCAAGCTGAACTATGAGTCTCTCTACATAAGAGGGTTTGTCACAATCTCCGCAGGCAGGCAGGTTGGAGATCACAGTATAAAAGGTTCAGGTTTATCAGAGAGTGCTACTATCTGGACTATCAATAGTTTAGTTAGATTTGTATTCCACAATACATATTCTAAATACAGTTGATGTTTGTCAATACATTTTTGATTTTGACTTCAACTCGGTGTATTGGGTTCGGAAGTTCTTTTGTGGTATTTTATATTTGTTAGGTTATGTAATTGTTTACTATTACTGTTATATTAATTACAAACAGCAACTGGTACATAATGCCTACAAACAGATTTTGAGAGAATTAACATGAATAAAAGAAAAAGTAATTTAGATGTGAATTTGTGAAAAGAAGAATTAGAATTCATCAACATGGTGAACAGCCTGACATTCCACTGCTGCACTATGAGCCTCCTCTACATAAGAGGGTTTGCCATAATCTCCACAGGCAGGCGGGTTGGAGATCGCAGTATAAAAGGTTCAGGTTTATCAGAGAGCGCTGCTGCATGGTCTCTGTTAGTGTAGACTCTAGCTGGCTCTTACACCAGCAGAAATTAAAGCCTTAATCCAAGCACAAGTTCCTTAAGAAATATGTAAAAATAAATATAATTACCACGTATGGACGTCCTCCATTGCAAGATAACACCAAGCAGGAACTTATCGATTCAATTTATCAACAAATAGTATAACACAATTAAGAAATTCGCTAAAATAATCACACGGTCCAAAATAATAACAATAGCTATGGCGCCGATGGCTGACATTTTGAAAGAATTGAAATGAAATGAAACGAACAGAACAGACTGAACTGAAATGTGATTTTCTTCAAGTATCAATAAAAGAATGTTGCCATAAGTCAAGTGCGTTTGTTTGTGCCAGTACTGCCAGTCTATTCAGTGATGCTCCCTAATTTCAGGGAGTTTCTCCCTGTTTAGAGGCAAAAATCTGTGCATGTTATTTTCTAGGGTCCTGCTTGGCGCTTCAATCCAAACTAAAGTTGATTGTTAAAACACTACACACATTCGAATTGAGAACCTCCTTTATCTCACATGGAGTACGAATTAAGCAAAAATCACTACGCTTGATCAAGGCAGATTGGGTACTTGCCAATTCAATACTTTTTTCGAACTGTTAAAAACGACAGTTTTCTATGAATTTTGTACGAGATTGTGTATTGTGACGCCACGTTTTTTTAGCGTCAAACAGCGTACTTATTTCTTAAAAATTTGCTGGAAAAATACTAAAATTAAGTTGGTCATAAAATCAATTAATGAAAGTGTGATTATTTTTTTAATATTTTATTGTATTGAACAGTCGAAATATTTATTTTGATTAAGGAAAGTACTCAATTTGCAATTTCAAAACTATAATAGTTACTATTTAATTTTATTTTAGGAGTAATTTAAATTTTATGTGGGACTATACTTTTGAGAGCTGGTAACACTTTCAAATCAAAATCACACTATGGTAACACTGCACTGCTTCACATGTCGAAATAAAACCTTATTTGTGAAACCTTTAATTGTGATACATATTATAGGTACATTTGGTATGTGAAATATTTTTAAAGTTTATGCACCTATTTATAACTCATTCACATAGAAACAGCAAAACAAATCTTGCAAGGGGGCCGTTTAAATATTACGTAAACAGATTTTTTACAATTATTTACCCCCCATCCCACTTGTCAGTAGAAGTAAGCAAATATCTTACCCCCTCCCCCTTTGCTTACGTAAACATTTTAAATTATATCTTTTTTAAATTGTAATTTTAATATTCTCTTATGTACCATAATGTCTAGTTCTTTGTCTTTGCTTGTAATTAATAATTTCAATATGAGGGTTGCCATTCGTGTAAAAAAGTAAATAACTACCGATGACGTAATCATCATCTAGACTCCCCTACACCCCATATCATCCAAAATAAACAAAACAGAGACCCCCGGGTTTCCATGGTGCTTACATTATACTTGAACGGCCCAAGACGACAGATTTCAGTCCGTAATTTTTGTCTCTGGGACGCGGGTGAAGCCATAGACAAAAAGTAGCAAAAAATGAAGTCTGTCAAAAAGGCCACTATTCGTGAAAAAAACAACTCATTTGACTATTCCTACTGAGCAAATAAATAATTATTCTATTCCTTTTTTTATGGATTCCTAGGCAAACGAGCAGACGGATCACCTGATGGTAAGCAATCAGCGCCGCCCATATGGTTGTCCATAAGAGTCACAGGAGTCCACCAGAAGAGTCACAGGTGCGTTGCCAGCCTTTTAAAAAAGAGTACGCTCTTTTCTTGAAGGTTTGAAGGTCGTATCGGTTCGAAAATACCATCGACGACAGATCATTCCACAGTTTTGCTGTGCGAGGCAGAAAACTATTATATTCTATTATTTCAGCAGGTTTTTCTAGAGCCATCTAAAGGACCACACAATTGACAGAGACCATGCAGCAGCACTCTCTGATAAACCTGAACCTTTTACACTGTGATTTCCACCCTGCTTGCCTGTGGAAATTATGGCAAACCCTGCTATGGAGCCTGTAGTCCAGGGTAGACTATGTTGATCGGTGATGAATTGATGACTATCTATATTATGTCCTGTACTTATCCCTTTTATACTACAATCCCTACCCCGCTTGCCTGTGAAAATTAGTGCAAGGGTAGACTATGTTGATCGGTGATGAATTGTTGATTATCCATATCATGTCCTGTACTTATCCGTCTGTTGCAATCTCCAATGACTAAAATCAGGCTGATATTGCTAAATTAGGTGATTTAAACTCACCTGTACTGCATATGGAAGTTCTTGGCAGCGTCCAGCAGCTTCATCTTTGTAACAAACATGTCCGGAGACAGCATCAGGTCCGCATGAGCTTGGATTTCTTGCACTAACTCGTCCACAAAGAAGCGTTGCTGGTCTTCGGGTTCCGCAGTCCTGGAGGAGAAAGTGGTAACTTCAGTATGTCGGTTGAGTGGTTAGGAAAGTAGCATTGGTGTTATATTGTTCTCAAATAATTGAACTCAACGAAAGAATGTAACCAAAAATTGTATTGTGACCTGATTGAAAAAGAGTAACCTATGGAGTTACTTGCTCGTTCTTCTTTATAGGAATCTACACTTTGGAACGAGCAAATAGCTTCACTAGAGGACTGACCTTCAGATTGACATTTTTTCTTATTATTTAATATATTTTTTCTTATATTTTGTTTTTGACATTCAAAAGTGCGTTCCTGGTCGAGTTGAAATAAATGATTTTGACTTTGACTTTGACTATGTCAGCAGTAGAGTACTGTGTTTTGGGTTTGATGGCTAGGTTGAACAAAGTATTTATCGTCATCAGTCCATAGAGATATACTATCTAATGTAAAAAATTTTCATGTCACAGTTTTCGTTGACATACTCCTCCGAAACGGCTTGACCGATTTTAATGAAATTTTTTGTGCTTATCCGGTATCTATGAGAATCGGCCAACATCTATTTTCCATCCCCCTAAATGTTAGGGGTAGTCCACCCCTAAATTTTTTTAAATTTTTTAGACAAAATTTTTAATTTCTATTTTTTTTATGATACAACATACAAAAATACATACAATCCCCAATTTTCACCCTTCTGTGAAATTATTTATATGGCAAAACAACGTTTGCCGGGTTTGTTAGTAGTTTTATATCTTATACCAAACCCAATAGTAATTTAAATTATCAAATCTCTCAGTAAAAGTACAGTTTGAAATTGTGTTTAGCTAATTATATTACATGGGCCTAATAACATAACTGATGAATTTTTTTAGGAATATATTCAGAAATAAATAAGCGAAAAGCTAGCTACAATACAATACTAGGTTTTACAATGGAACTGGTTAATATTTTATTATATAGCTGCAATGGATCTCTGCCTGCCTGTTTAAACAAAATAATAATGTTTTGGTGGCCCGGAGGTTTAAAACTTACCAACGGCAAGTACCAATGTGACTTTTTCTGAGTTATATGTACTTTCTAAGATTATCTAGACACCACTGACAAACGGTGAAGGAAAACATTGTGAGGAAACCTGGGCTTATAATTTCTAATTATAAATCTGAAATAGTCAACGCGCATTGAGCAAGTTGGTGTGATGAATGCTCAAACCTTCTCCGAGTGTGAAGAGGCTTTGCTCAGCAGTGGGCATTTATAGGTTTTATATTCAATTCATATTACTTACCAAATCCTGCTCTCGATCCATGGTGCCAAACAATGCCGTACCTCAATCGGGAAGTGATCCCCATAGATAGTACGGACCTAAGGACAAAATAATGTTTTAAATCCATCCAACAAAGTGTTATTAACCTGTGAACTGTCGGAACGCATATCTATTAATTAACATACATACATACATAACTTCACGCCTGTCTCCCATGGGGATAGGCAGAGACTAAGGAACGCCAATTACTACGATTCTTACATACCTCTTTCGCTTCATCTATTAATTAATTTGTTTATTATTACTTTTTTTAAAGTGTAAATATTTTAGTTTATAGTTATTTATATTTTAAGTTGTATATATTTTCATTCAGTAACAGTTAATATTAATTTTATTTAAGTTTTTATTGAAATGTCATGTAAGGAATTATTATTTCTTTTATATATTTATAGTTTCAACTATATATTATGATTATAATCAACCACTTAAGGCTGGTTTTGCATTTATTTCTTTATTTAGAGGATCACTGACATAATTTTTTTTTTGTGGGTAGACATAGTAGTGTAAATACATGTTTTTGTTGCACTGACAGCTTTAAATAATTTTAATTATATTCATTACAATAATTTATGTTCTAATACAGTAATTGTGTTCTTGACCCCCCCTTTGCTTGCCAATAATCGTTACCCCGCTCGGCTTACACTACCGGAGGCCCAATTAGTCTCCACAGTATCCCCATCCACTCCCATCACCCCATTCCTCAATAATAGCATAGAACTATGCATGGTATGGCAATACACTAACCTTCTGAAGGCTCTCCGGAGGAAGCTGCTGAGCTCTGGCCCAGAGAGACATCTTCAATCTGAAACAAAAAGAGATAATATGGTAAAATTTGTGTACAAGTGTAGATGCACCACATCTTAAGGTAGACCTTCTGTCGCGGAGAACCTAATGGGTAACCGGGGCTCCGGCTCGACGTGCAGGAGAAGGATCGGGGTGGTTTTTAGTCAGTAAGAGTCTGACACTCCCTCCCGCCTCACCTAGGCGGGAGCAGTCATTCCTAGGGGGATTTCTCCCCCTTAAAAAAAAAAGTAGACCTCAGTCTATACCAGACCCCTCACTTTTTCACATCAACAGCAGGTGACAGTCAACTGAACTATGAGCCTCCTCTACAAAAGAGGCCCAATTACCCCTCTCCCTAGTCTCTCGAATCCCCGAATCCCCCACAATCCTCAAACTCCTAATTCCCAAAAGGTCGGTAACGCACTTCTAACGCCTCTGGTGTTCCGTGTGTCCATGGGCGACGCCGATTGCTTACCATCAGGTGATCCGTCTGCTGGTTTCGGTAAGCCGGTGCTTATGTTATAAAAAAGGAGGTTTGCCATTAACTCGCTTTCTTGGCATGGGAGACAGAGATTGCACTGTACAAGATTCACATTTTTTATGAGCGGTGATTCCAGTAATACCTTGCCCGACCCGGCAGTCGCACTTGTGACCACTCGGCCAACGAGGCAGTCTTATTATCAATACTTAGGTATTTGTAGATACTTACTATTTTTTTAAACTCAGCACTGATAAGAAACGACGCCTCCTACAATGTTATCTGTAAAAAAAAGTAAAGAGGTTAAGTTCATATCTTCCAAACTGTAAAAGTGGAGTTCAACATTAAAAATATTAATTATATTCATAGTAGGACTAGTTTCAAGCCGTGCTAGAGGCTCATATTCATGAGCGTACCGCGACCGGCGACGCGAATATGAGCCTCTCAACATGGCTTGAAACTAGTCGAGTTTCTCATCAAACAGTTACGTGAGTAAGCCGAAAACATAATCATGACAGGGTATAAAAATTCAAAATCTGGGTATCATTGTGTATGTGAACTTGTGTTTGTAAACGCACCCACGACACAGGAGACAATGATAATGTGGGGCAATGTTTAAAAAAAAAGCCGTTCGAGAGAAAAGCATACTTCGAGATTAACCTGTCGTGTATCTAAATGCGGATCCACTCCAGACACAATGTATTTTCTATTGCGTCTTATATCGGTGCATTCAAGCGATAAAGGATTGATGTCTAGTCTAGATGAATGTAGTCATATATATTATGCTTCGGGATCGGCATTGATTCCGAAAAATTACACGAGATCTCACTAGATCGGAGTAGTATTCCCTGTTCATAATTCAAGTAGTTAAAAGTGCGTGTTACATTGTATATTGCTTACTACCAGGCGATATTGACTGAGATTTCGTCATAATATATTATCCTTCGGGATTGATTCCGAAAAATTACACGAAATCTTGAGAGATCGGGATTGCATTCCCTGCAGCTGTAGCCAAATGCCACTTAGCGCTTGTCTACATGTAGAATAGAAAACCAAATTATATGGGGATGACGTCACACTTGTCAGTGTCATCCCCATACATTTAGTTTTCTACTCTCTCTGTAGACTAGTATGTATTTACTATGTATATGTGAACCTCTGTCTACCCCATACGGGATTAATACCCACAATACAAATTAATAAAACATGTTTGCAACAATGAATAATGCTAAATAATTAAATAGCCAGTTAGAATGCAATAAATGTCAAAGACTGAATTCATTAATTAAACAACAATTAGCTGTTGTGTTGTTATCCTTCATTGAACTTGTTTAAATATCACGCTTAAACAATTGAAAGGATAGGCAGAAAAAGAATATTGTAGAATGTTATTTACATCGACATATACTAAACTAATGGGCATGCCTTAGAGATGAGAATTGTGGCACTCCGAAAGAAAGAGAGGAAACAAAGTTTCGGTCTATCTTTATCTCTCTCAAAATAGTACCGTAGTTAAGACGTTATGAGCGAGAAAGAGATAGCGCTAGACCGAAAGCATAGGCCATCTCTCTCACTCTTTTCAAACCAAAAAATTACTGCAGATTATACGCGTACGGCATGTCCATTAGTATATTATGTCGATGGTTATGTAGTTATGGTATAGTCTATGGTCATAGTATAATCTATGGTGATCATTTATCTATGGCGTGTGGTTGAGCCCGCCAATTTGTAAAAAAAACAGAAGACGCAATAAAACAGTGTGTCAATAGGTTTCACTCGTTTTATTTGTACATATTTCGTTCTTGTATAGCAAAACTACTTATATACGGAGCCGCAGAGCCCCGGCTCGAAGTGCATCAGTAGGAACGGGGTGGTTTTTAGTCAGTAAGAATCTGACACTACCTCCCGCCTCACCCAGGCATGATTTTGCCCCCTTAAAAAACAAATATAACTACTTAACATAGAGATAATTAATAATATAATTTGGTATACAGGTAAGAAAATAGATTATTTAGTAGAGACAGTAGTCAAATCGTTTATATTATAACTTCCGTGAGACATACTATATTAATTATTATGTTTTCGGCTTACGTTAGCTTGGCTTAGTGAGTACGTGAGTAACTGTTAGACGAGGAACTCGACTAGTTTCAAGCCAGGCTTGAGTCTCGTATTCGCTATATTCTCCGCGTCGCGTGTCGCGGAATACTGCTCAATTGCTCATGAATGCATGGCTTCAAGTTTCGAACGAAGGCTGCTACATGTTGCACGGCAGCAAGTTGCCCAGGAGCCGTGGAGGAGTTAACGGGTTGCCGGGGCTCCGGCTCGAATTACAGGAGTAGGAACGGGGTGGTTTTTAGTTAGTAAGAGTCTGACACTCCATCTCGCCTAACCCAAGGCGGGAGAAGCCGTTAGATGAATTTCCGCCATTAAAAAAAAACCAGTTGGCCAGCTACCACCGCACAAAACGTGCAGTCTGTGATCATCGGTTATCGCAATCTGTGTTTCACATTCGTGCAAAAGAATCCAAGAAACTAAAGCAAATCCTAACATCGGCTCCCAACCTTCAAGTTAGACAATACTTTCACCATTTAAAATTCTCCAAAACGGGTCAGACACTGCGTTTATTGCCGAAATTTGACCATAGCCCTGTTACTATAAAACCTAATTACAAAAGTAGGAGTGTCGATTACACTACTGTATACCCCTTGGGGAATACCGGGCGTAAACTTGACACGAAAATGTGGTATTACTCTAAACTTTATTAAGACAAGCCCACCACAAACTCCCAAAACCGCTGCAACTCCTGTGCACCAGGATCTACAGTAGATACAATCATAAAAGCACCGGAACACTGAAGTCCGGCGCGTCCCAGGGACATGAATAACCGTCTTGGTTCCCGCAACGAAATGAATCAGAAGATATACGAAAGATTTTATAATTTTTAAAAAGGAATACGCTCTTTTCTTGAAGGTTTGAAGGTCGTATCGGTTCGGCAATACCGCCGATGACAAATCATTCCACAGTAAAGTGTTGTATGTTTGTAATGGCACCCACAACACAGAAGAAAACGTTACTATGGCAACATTTAAAAAATCTATGGTCCAGTCCTACATCACACAAGTGAAGTTTGGCATGAATTAACGCAGATAGAACGAGGATTAATAGGGCCTGCTCGCCTGGCTCCCCCCGGCTCGAGCGCGGCCCCTAGCGGCGCCCCCACTGGACACGACCATACCCCACCAACAGCTTGCTGCTCGCTGGGCTTGCGCGGCTAGAGCGCGGCTCATGGCGGGGCAAACCACCGGACTCAACACCGCATCGGGCCCCGCAAGGAGCCCGACTAATCCAACCCCTCGCCTGCTGTAGCAGGCAGCGAGCGTATCCGCTGAAACAGGCATCGGCCTGGATCGCGCGACCTCGCGCCCCCAGCCGGGGACGCAGAGAAGACCCGACGACGATAAATAGGGCTTGGGATCCAATACATTTTTGTAAAATAGAAGACATCCTGTTACCGAAATTTACTAACTCATAGACCTAAAAAACTACAGAACATTTATCTGATCACCAAGTAAAATAGCCGAGACTCCGCATCTGGTCTTTATCCACGATATTTTCAATTTGGTCAGCATGTGTTATCCCAAAGCAGCCCATATAAACAAACTGATGTTTGTTTATCACACACAAACTTGAAAACGACTGAACAGATTTTGAAAAATCTTTAACCAATTGTAAGCTTCATTATCATGGAGTAATACTTTTTAAAGTCGTGGTTTAAGACGCCCGCTTCTCATACATGAGAGTGTGGGCTTGAAACCTACCAACAACAAGAGCCAATATGACTTTTTCCGAGTTATATGTACTCTCTAAGATTATTTAGACACCACTGACAAACGTGAAGGAAAACATCGTGAAGAAATCTGGGCTTATAATTTCTAATTATAAGTTTGAAATTGCCTACCCGTGTTGGGCAAGCAAGGTGAGTAATGCTCAAACCTTCTCCGTGGGAGAAGAGGCCTTTGGTCAGCAGTGGCCACTTACAGGATTATTTTATATTTAAATAACACTTTTATCTTAATGTTCTTACAGAATCGGGAATACAGGATATATTTAAGTGAGCAAAACAATGAATTGGGATGATGACAGGGTATGAAAATTAAAAATCTAATTAGTCCGTAAGTTAGGTAATGAAAAAATATTAGACACGTATTTTTTTATTTTATCGCATAATAAAACAATACTTAGATAAAACGAATCAAAGTTTAGGAGTGGGGGCTAAAACGTCATTTCTACGTATAAAATGTACATAGAAGTGACGTCACGCAACATTTCAAATCAATTTATTATAGAAAGTATTTGTTTCTGTAAGAAAATAAAAAATACGTGTCTAATGATTTAAAATAATCTACCTGACGGACATTAAAATAAAAATTACGCATCTACCCTATTCAGTTTAATCAGATACATATGTATACAAATAACTATTGTTCTCAATCGTTCTCTACTCTACTATCTCCACCTTTTTCGTTACTAAAAG